CTCATCTGTCTGGGAGCACACCAGGCCGCTCTCCCTCCAGGCCACACAGCCCGAGGCAGCGGCCAGGTGTGCGGCAGGAGGTGCCAGGCCTCCCCTGAGACTGTTCTCTTTCCCCTGCAGCAAATCACTCTTTTAAGAAAATTGAGTTCCAGCCTCCAGAAGCCAAGAAGTTTTTCAGCACAGTACGGAAGGAAATGGCGCTGCTGGCTACCTCCCTTCCTGATGGAATCATGGTCAAGACTTTTGAGGACAGAATGGCAAGTGGGCTTAGCACGGGCTTGGCATGGGCCAGCACAGGTGGGCCATGTAGGCACTTAGTGCCCAGCCTTGGGTGCCAGCACCTCCAGGCTGACTGGCACCTGAGTGACCACCTACCCACCTTCTTTTATAGGGGAGGTGACAGCTCAGTCAGGTGAGCTCTGACACAGAGTCATCAGCCACAGAGGTCTAGACCAGGTGGTTCATTCTTTCCTTCTTTCTTTAAAAAATTAGCTAGAAATTTATACAGTTTCCTGAGTCTACTCTTGTTTCTGAAGACTCAGAATATTACAGAGAAAGCTAAAGTTGCCATGGACCAGTCCTCACCTCCTTTTTCCCCCCAAGTCCTAGGCCTTTTCTACTCCTGGAGGTTGAACCTTAGCCAATCTCCCACAACCTCTTTTGAACATTTGTAATTCTTGTGCATTGCCACTGTAAACAGTGTCTTGTACGACATGTTCACACAGAGTGGTGCGTCCTAAAGCTGGCTCCCTTCTCTTAGCCCGTGGTTCTTGGGATTGACCCCGTAGTTCAGCTGACCCAACGTGTGCCTTCTGTTATGCATTCCGTGCCTTACTTCTGCTCCGGGACGGGCCTGGCGTTTGAGTACTGTTGAGAGACTTGTAAGGACTGGGCCTCCACCATGAGCCAGGCACTGTGCTAGACACTGACTGAGTCTGAGGCCCCAGCTTGCGCCCTGTCCTAGACCAGAAGGGCCATAGAACAAAGGAGCAGGGACGTGAAGAGTTAGAAGGAGGAGCCCTGTTCACGCAGGCCATGCTGGCTGGCAGCAGCGGAGCAAGGCTCAGTGCGACTTGAGATTTTAGTAACACTTTTATTGTTCCTGAGGTTAGGTAAAATTCCTTTAGAAAATTCCACTCTCAGCTCTGCTAAAGGAATAAGGGAGCACTAGTTGGTGGTGTTTTTTCCCAAATCTCAGAAGCTGGCAGGTTGCACAGATCAGATTGTGCCTGAGAGGATCCCGTTACTCCAGTTAGGGGACCTCCCCCCTTTGCCTTCCTGCTCCTCACTCACCCACATCATGGACCTGGGCAGTTGATACTCACACACACACCCCCTCAGGACTTGGCACCTAGCTTCTGTGGGGTCTCCCAGCATTTACTCTGGAGTTCAGACCCATCCTCTTGGAAATGAGACCCCCACCCCAGGGCATGTGCCTGCACAGCTGGAGTGCTGCTCCTCCCTGGATCTGCACGTGGCCCTGGAGGAGGGAAGCCAGAGCCTCTGTGCCAACCTTGGCCCTCCCTCCCTCCCTCCCTCCCTCCCTCCTAGGACCTCTTCTCAGCCCTAATCAAGGGCCCCACCCGAACCCCCTATGAGGATGGCCTCTACCTGTTTGACATTCAGCTCCCCAACATCTACCCAGCCGTGCCCCCCCACTTCTGCTACCTCTCCCAGTGCAGTGGACGCCTGAACCCCAACCTGTACGACAATGGGAAGGTGTGTGTCAGCCTCCTGGGCACCTGGATTGGAAAGGTGAGTGCTGTGCCGGCATCCCAGCGGAGGTGCAGGGAGAATGGGAGCAGGTGTCTGAGACAGACTCCATGGTGCTGTGTGTGTTTCAGGGGACAGAGAGGTGGACGAGCAAATCCAGTCTTCTCCAGGTGCTCATCTCCATTCAAGGTGCGGTTGGGCTGGGCAGTGGACAGGGAGTGGTGGAAGGTGGCCCACTGGCCCGCTCCTTGCGGGTAGTGGCCAGGCTTGGCCTGATGGGTGACCCTGCCCACTGCAGGTCTGATCCTCGTGAATGAGCCATACTACAATGAAGCTGGCTTCGACAGTGACCGGGGCCTGCAGGAAGGCTACGAGAACAGCCGCTGCTACAACGAGATGGCGCTGATCCGGGTGGTTCAGTCTATGACCCAGCTGGTGCGACGGCCCCCGGAGGTCTTTGAGCAGGAGATCCGGCAGCACTTCAGCACTGGTGGCTGGCGGCTTGTGAACCGCATGGAGTCCTGGCTAGAAACCCATGCCCTGCTGGAGAGGGCCCAGGCACTGCCCAATGGCATCCCCAAGGACAGTGGCTCTCCAGAACCTCCAGCTGCAGCTGAGCTCTCAGACTCTGGCCGTGAAGAACCTGAGGATGCTGGGCTGGCCCCTGGAGAGGCCTCCCAGGGCTCAGACTCGGAGGGTGGTGCCCAGTGCCCTGCCTCAACTAGCAGGGACCACACAGACCAGGTTTCGGAGTCAGCGCCTGACGCATCAGTACCACCCAGCGTCAAACCAAAGAAGCGGAGGAAGAGCTACCGGAGCTTCTTGCCTGAGAAGAGTGGCTACCCTGACATCGGCTTCCCGCTCTTCCCACTCTCTAAGGGTTTCATCAAGAGCATCCGGGGCGTCCTGGCGCAGTTCCGGGCCGCCCTGCTGGAGGCAGGCATGCCCGAGCACACGGAGGACAAGTAGCCACCAGCCCCAAGGAAGGAGCATCACCATGGGAGAGCCAGCTGCTGCCTGCTCACTCCCTCCCCTGGAACCTCCCCTCCTGGCCCCTCCTGGCTCCGTGTGAGCCCGTCAACCTTCCGCTCCCCAAGGCAAGTTTGATGCTGAGTGTAAGGAGTGCCCCAAAACGCTGCATATCTGTTCTGAAGCGATACATGGGCAGGTCCCCTATGGCAAGGAAATCGGGACCTTGTTGCGATTTTCCACATATTGCCCAGGCAGAATGTCTCCCTTCTCAGGTCAGAGGCGGGGTGTTCCAGGGCCAGGGGACCCTGCAGCGGGGCAGGAGAGTGGATGTGCCTTTGCATGAAGTGTGGGCTGCTCCTGCAATGTCCCCGGTCCCTTTCAACTTCTTCAATTGGATTGTAGCCTCCCCATGTCCCAGACCCTCCTCCTGCTGCCACCGCCACTGGATATGCCCCTCATCCCCTAGCGTTGACACCATCCCACGGGAACTGTAGCGCTGTTGCTGACTCCCAGCCCGGCCCGTTGGCCACATAATAGCCTTTAGGCCTGTTGAACTTGCTCTCTAAGAGAGGTTGGGACAGGCTAGGTTCAGGGTGATGCCTGGGAGAGGTGGTGGCCTCATGCACCAACATGGAGTTGAGGACAGGGAGCTGGTGGAGAACAAAGAGCTGTAGGTGCCTTGTGCTTCCTGTCTGTGGCTGGTGGGGGCACCAGCAGCTCAGGCCCAGGTCCACCTGTGGGGACTGCAGTGACACCTGCTGGCCTTCCAGCCTCACGCCAGTGAGCAGGCAGGAGCTGCAGGGCAGGTGCGGGGCCTCGCCCCATCTGGTGGCAGGAGCCTCTCTGGGATGAGATCTAGGCCTCCATCAGCCCCCACTTAGAAACTCTGCAGGCGCAGTCCAGAGGGAGGAGGGAGGCAGCATCAGCGCTCAGTCCCCTCCTGCGACGGGCCCAGAGGTTTACAAGTTTTCTAAGCTTTTGATAATGTGAAGCTCCAGGTTCAGAGGATGCTGTTGAGCACATTGCAGCTATGTAATTTCTGGTGTATGTATGTAATATTTAAGGTTGGAAAAATAAATCTCAAAAGCAAAAGATATTAACACTTATTAGACAAAAAAGACAAAAAAAAAAAAAAAAAAAGCCAAAGCATGATGCGTCTTGTCAGCCTTAAGTGGGCTCCACGCCTGTGCTGTGCGAGGACCACCCAGGCAGTAGAGCCATGGGAAGGGCGGAGCTGGGCCACACTCAGGCACTCACTGGTATCTTCAGAACATCCAAGTGTCTGGTGGGGCTGCAGCTCCCGGTGGATTGTGTGGAGATGTGAATGCCCACTGCTTACAATATCTGTATAAAGTGCTGTGTGATTAAACTTTTTTTTTTACTTGCATTTTTTTTTTTGTTTGTTTGTTTGTTTGGCTCATTAACAAGACAAGGTGACACCATTAAACCTGCCTCTGCCATTCATCTGAGCTCCGTTGCCTTTCTTCCTCATGGGCCAGTGTCCCTCACACACTACCTCCCTGGAAGGGAAGGCTGTGGCAGCAGGTCCTGGCTTCCCTCTGCCCCAAGGCCCTTGGCCTCTCCAGTGGTAGGAGCCACAGCTGGGAGGCGGGGCCTGTTCAGTGGGGCTTCCTCCTGCCTCGGAGCTGGGCTCTGTACCTGGCCTGTGTGGTGTTCCTCAAGAGCCAGTTCTCAGCAGCACTGTCTGTCTCTGAGCAGCTGTGGTCCCCAACAGCCTACAGCTGGCCCTTTCAGCTCCTTCCAATTCTGGGAGAGCTGACATCACAGCATCTGGTGGCAGGCAGGTGTCATTCTCCTGGGCTGCAAGCCAAAATGGTTGCCCAGCTGAGAGATTGGTATCTGCTCCTCCCTGCTTCTTCCCTTTAACCCCCACCCAGCACTCCTGTAGGAGGACCAGTGGGGAAGGGCAGAGGCTGCTGAGTGAGGCTGGGCGCTGAGCCCCTCCGGGGTGCCTTGTGTCTTGTTCCCTGGAGTTTCCCCCATGCCTTCCACAAGAGCTTTAACTTTCCTGTGAAACCCACAAAAGGGTCCAGCCACATTTGCTGACCAGCTGCTTGTGTGGCCCACAGTCAAGAGGCTGGAGCTAGGAGTCTCCATCTTCCCAGTTGTGAGGTCAGGTGACCTGCAAGCTCTGAGGCTGAGGGTGGTCTATTGTGTGCCCATTGCCAAGGTGGCTATGACATGTGCTATCCAATCCAGGGATTGCCATTAGGCATCGTTAACATTAAATTATGTAGCCTTGGGTGGAGCAAGACCCCATTCCCTCCCTAGTCCCCAGGATAGGACTAGCAGGCTAAGAATGTCACTTTTATTTGAATTTGATTCATGGGACAGGGCTTCCGGAATAAACAGAAATACCTTCCACAGACAACTGGCCCGGCCAGCAGGGCTCCTGCCTATGGCCTTGTTCTGACCTGTGGTGGGTAGAGCCTGAACTTCCCAAAGCATAGCCACTACCACCTTCCTACCCTTTTCCAGAGGAGGCCCCATCACCCCCAGAAGCTGTGGAGAGGTCCCCTGTCCTGGGGGAAGGACAGGGTGCCAAGCTCAGCCTACACGCAGCAGACAAAGGCACAGCAAGCCCATGGGGGTCATAAAGGCTCTTCTGGAGGTGGCATCTGCTGGGGTTCCTGGCTGGGTGGGGGACCCCTGCAGCCACCACTGACCATCCAGAAGTAGTCTGGGTGCACTTGGCCCTGCACAGCCTCACTGACCATCAACTCCCCATCCACAGCAAACACACCCCTCCCATCCTTAGGCTCCAGGCGGAAGGCAACCACAGGCACATGCACCAAGTAGGGACAGTCATACTCCATGTGCTTGCCCTTCTCCATGGCCAGAAAGAGGCGCAGCAGCATGGTCCTGGACACCCCTGCCCTCACGTAGAACAGATGCATGACACCAGCTGCACAGCGGCCCATGGGTGCAGCAAACATCTCACTGCCCAGATGGGTGTGCAGCAGAGCCAGCACCAGTACAAAGTCCTGATGGGGCACCACGGTCCAGTGAGAGGGCACTGGCTCCTCCAGGGGAACAAGGTGTGCGTCCACAGGGCCCTGCTGCATTAGAGCAGGGGAGGTGGGCATCTTAGAAACAGCACTTCCTGCGGGGAGATAGGCCAGTTGCCCCCGGTAGGTGCGCAGGGCTGCCAGGCGCAGGAAGGTCCCCAGAGTGAAGCGCATCTCCCCCAAGCGCCGATACTTCTCACTTTCCAGGTCCACATCAGCAATGAAGCCCCAGGCCAGGCTGAGCACAGAGAAGAGGCGCAGCCCCGAGGCGGTGTGCAAAGACAGCAGGTTCATAGGTGACAGGAGCCGTTGGCACAGCAGCTGCGTGCAGTTGGTCAGGAGGTCCTCATTAGTCACCTGCTCATAGCTGCAGGGGAAAGGGTCTGATGGGGCAGGGGAGGAACCCCGTGCATCCTCCCCTTCCTCCTCCCTTTTGCCTGCAGGCACGAGTTAGCAGGGGCAGTGACAGAGAACAGGTGAATGCAGCCAGCTTGGCCCACCAGGAGCAGGCCCCAGAACTGAGAGCCAGCCTGGAGGGATAAAGGTGAAGTGGACGTTACTCCTGTATATGGGAACTTAGAAAAGAAAACCTGGCAGAAGTGGGCACCCAGGGGAAATGGAGGCCCACTCTGGCCCTGGGCTCTCACCCAGCGTAGTGGTTCAAGGAAGCTGCCAGAGCGTTGCCAGAGCCTGCTGGGAGGCTACACAAGGGTTTCTGGATGGCCGTCTCCCAGTCTGGGCGCTCCATGAGTCCATTCACCACCTGTTGGCATGAGGGCTCAGCCCTGGAAGCCCCACCCCACCCATGCCCCAACCCCCGGCCAGCCTCTGGTGCAGGCCTCACCTCATGCATCAGCCCATCCCCAGACATGACCACCAGAGCATCCCAGCGGCCCAGCTCCTCCGCCCGCACCAGTTCCCGTGCGTGGTTCCTCCTTTCTGTAGGAGACATGCAGTTCTCAGGGCTGGTTCTGGCAGGGGATGCTGCCCCAGTCTCGGCCGGTGTAAAGGAGACTCACCAGTGAGCATCAGAGTGAAGGAGACTTCGGCCTCGGCAAGAAGGGGCTGCACGAGGCTCTGGAAGAGCTGCAGGGCCTTGCCCTTGCCGCCGCGCGGGTTCAGCAGCACCAACACACGGCAAGGCCGGGGGAGCAGGTTCCGGGGGCCACTCGCTACAAAAACAAACCTGAGAAAGCCGCGTCCCCAACCGGCCACTAGGGGGCCGAGAAGAGCAACCAGGGCAGTGGGGTGGAAACGCAGCGCCAGCAATACCCGGGTACTTAACCCAATAGAGCCCAACCAGAGGACACGACCTCCCGAGGGGAATTCTGGGGTGGGGCGCGCTGCCCCTGATCCCCCTTTTCTTGGCTCAGGCCCGGTAGGCTTCCAGTCTCCAGGGGGAAAGTATTTCTCTCCAGAGTCCCCAGATCCTCTCTCTCGGAGTTCCAATATTTCTGGCGAGGGAGAGAACCCTACCGCTCTTCCCAGACTCCCACAAACCTGGATCCATAGCCTCGACCCGCGGCTCCCGCTGCCAGGGGGTCCCCAGCGTTGTTGCGGCGCTGCCCTCGGTGACCGCGGCTCGTGCTTTCAGCTCCTTATCGGTGCTGCCCAGGAGGGCGTCGCGAGGTTGGCTGTGGGGCTCGCCCTCCCCGCCCGGAGCCGGGGCTGTGGGGGTAACCGCGTCATTCCCTGCAGCGGCCAGATCTGCGGGACAAGAGGAGACAGCGCTGGAGGAGTCCAGGGCAGCAGCTCCTGGTGCGGGAGGCGGCGCCCAGCCAGATGCCGGGACCACGCACCAGGAGTGGCGCGCTCCTGAATCGCCATAAGCCCGTGGGGACCTAGCTTTCTGGAAGGACGTCCGGTGTCACCAAGCAACTGAGTCCCCAACCCCTCGAAACGAAGGGTCTCTTCCCAGGACATTCCTCTTTGGGGCTTTGGGTTCCGGCCCGAGGGATGAGTCAGAGCCCCATGGTTCTCTCTGTCGGACCAGCTCCTCACCCTGTCGGGCTGCCAGGGAGAGGGGAGTCCAGTTGCGCAAAAATCCCAGAACTTGAGCGGACATCGCGAGGCACAAAGTGTGGAGCGAAGATCCCAGTCCCAGACAGCCCGGTCCTCGCGTCCCCTGCCCTGAGTTTCAGAGAAGCTGGGGCCGTGGCACACCTCCAAGAGCCCTGCTCCGCCTGGACGCTCGCTGCGTTGGTGGGAGCAGCGTTCGTAGCGCGAGAGCCGAGCCGGAGCAGAGCCAACAGTTGCCGCCTGCCCTGCCCGAGTGCAAGTGGGCACAGGACCTCGCGGTGCGTGGCCCAGTTCCCCAGGGCCCCGCGAGGGCGGGCCGCCCAGGAGCCACCAGCCACGGGAGGACAGGGCGGGCGGCCCTACCCAGTCGGTCTGGTTTGCTGGCAAGGCGAAAACGCCGTTCCCTATAGTGGCCTGGGGCGGAACGAGGCTCGTTCCAGGCTCAGCCCGGCATCTGAGTGACAACTGAAGCGCCGGGCTGGCACAGACTCCCGGGTCTCGCTGCCTCTGGCCTCAAACTTTTCGCTCAACTTCACTGCGAGGCGCCGCGGCTTGGGGAGGGCTCTCTGTCTGGGCGCCGGCCTAACCACGCCCCTCGTGGCTTCAGCTAGCGGAGGTGGAACTGGAGCTCGATGTGGACCCGGGCCCTGAACCCTGGCCTCACCACGCCACCCCCAGCACGGTCCGCGCCCACCGCCACACGCAGGTTCTCGACAGTCTTGGGATGCGGATGCGCGCTCCCGCCGCTCATAGGAGGTGGCGCCGCCGAGGGACTGGAGGAGCATTCGGCGAGGCGCGGACACAGCGTCCCCGGCGCGCGAAGGTGAGCTCGCCGCTCAAGCCGAGGTGCAAGCCCCGCGCGAATACGTCTGGGTGCCCAGAGTTTGAGTGGGCACCGGGCGCGTGTGATCTTGAGCTCTGGGAAGACCCTAGACTGCGCCTGGACACCGCGATTTCGCAGTCCCCAGCGCTAACGGCAGACCCATCCTCGCTGCTCGAAGCCAGGATGCCGTGACTCGTTCGCACGTCCCGAAGTCCCGGACTTCGAAGTCCCGGACCCCGCCTGGCGCCCATTCTCCCGAGCTGGGATATCTCACCAGCCACTCGCGGGCTTTCTCTTTCTTCCTCCCCAGGTCTCCCGCGGAGGGCTATTTTTAACTTCCTGACTGCGGCTGGGCCACGCACCCACAACGAACCCAAAGCAGCCGGGCGCGCCGTCCCGAGCAGATCTGGACTGGCCCTGGGGCTCCGCGTCGGAGTACGCGGTCGGGAGGAGGGAGCTTTGTCAGCAACCCCCAAAGTTGGAACCTTTCCCTGGGGACACCATCAAGGCTCACCTGGGCCAGAGAAGCTGTCCGCAGATAGCAGTCCAGGTCCACGTTCCTCGCCTGCTGGAGAGGAGTCCAGCAGTGTGGAAGGCCTAGGGGTCCAGATCCGGACCGAGAGGCAAGCTCGGAGGGCGTGGCCCCGCCGCCCCCGCCCCTCCGGCTGGCTCCGCGCGAAGACGCAAACGCGCCAGGGAGTTTCTGCTTCAATTGGCAAACCGCACGCGTGTCAGTGTCTGAAGTATTCCGCGGCAAGTGACGAGAACGTGTCCGTGAACAACTCGAATTAAATCCCTGGAAGGTTATTTGCGGAGACTGGGAGGAAGACGTTGCCAAGGCCGAACTGATAACCTGACCAGGTAGGGCCACACTTGGGAGGGGGACCCGCAGGAGATTCAGACGGGCCAGGCCCTGGCTGCGGAGAGCCCACGTCCCTCGCCGGCCCCTACCCGACCCCCACACCTCTCTTCTATAGCTTCCTAAAGAGGCTGGCCCGGGAGGAACGCGGAGCCGATTTGCCCGGTGCGCCCTGAATCCGGGCACGCCTCGGTGGTGTCTTCTCTTCCAGAGGACCCCACAGCCCGACCCCCTTTCCCAACACGTGGGAGTCCCCGGACGGAGCACTCAGGATGGGACTTCCCAAGCCGCGGTCCGCACGCCTCCTCGCAGTGTGTGCTTCCGCTTTGCGCGGTCCTGGCACAGCCCCGGGCCGGGTCCCCAGCGTTCCGAGAGCGCCCTGAGAAGGTGACTCAGCGACGCGTTCACGGGTGGAGAAACGCCCGGAAACGAGAAACTGGAGAAGGAGCAGGGGCGTCATCACTGATTCCCAGCGCCGCGCATCCGCGGAGACTGCGTCCGGCACCCTTGGCCCCCTATGGCGCAGACCCGGGGAATCCCGCGCCAGCAGGGGAGGGCAGCGCCGCAGCCGCAGTGCCGCGGTCATGCGCTACGGGGACGCGAGCACCGGCTGGAGGAGGGTCTCCGCTCGGGAGCCAGGAGCCAGGTCTGCCCGCCACCCCCTTCTCCCCTTTTTTTCCTTCCCCATTAGGGTCCAGGTCCGGATCTTGGAGCCTAGATGACGCGGGTAGGAAGGTATACTCCCCAAGATCTCAACCTTGGAAGGGACCAACTGCGGAGAACGACCCGGGGTTCCCGCCTCTGCTTCCTGGCTCAGAACACTTCTGTCAGGCCTGACAAGCCGCCCTTGTTAGCGGCTGAAGAGGGGAAACTGAGGCACGGGGTTATGAAGCCCGCCTGGAACAGGGCTTCCTGTTTCTCTCGCGGGAGGGGGGGGGGGGACAGGCTGCAACCCCTGGGTCCTAGGACTGGCGAGGAGGGGGTGGGATTGACTGGAAACAGCTGGAGCTTGCAAAGGGAGGCAGGGCAGCCTGCTGGGCTCTTTATCCCCTGGGCCTTCGGAGGGCCCAGCTCCCCTCCCAGCTGGGGAAGGCCCAGTGGGAGAGAGGCAAAGGGCAGAGCCCTCTGGCCCCGGTGCCACTCCACACAATGATTCCTCTGTCCTGCCTGGGTTTCCCCACCACCACCCCTCTGTTCTAAGAGCCTCTGCTCTGCCCCGCCTCCTTCTGGTCATTCACCTCCCCCCACCGCGGTGCCTCTTCCAGACCCCTTTCCCTTTGGGCCTGTCTAAAGAACTTCATCCCTTCTCCAGAAACTCACCCATCCCCATTCCTGACCCTAGAGACAGGAAAGCAAGTTGCTTTCTGCTCTTGACACTTGGGGGAACTGAAACTTGGAAGGGTTTACTCAAGCAGCCAAATCCTTGACCTGGGGAGTTGAGTAGCAAACCCCCAGCCCTGCCCCCAGCCTAGGAGGCCAAGCTGGGATAGGCTGGCAGCCTCCCCCTGCCCAGCTTCTCCAGGATATTGGGCATCTGTTGGCCTGGTGGATTGCTTGCCACCGAGCTGCCCCAGAAACCCAGTGGTCACAGAGTCTCCAAAGAGGAAGCATCTCTAAGCCCTGTTCTGGCTTCACTCCCCAGGTTCTGATTGAACAATCAGTTACTGTGTCCGGCAGGGCCCACCATGCGCCTGGCGCCAGGCTTGGGCCAGCCAGGGGGGTCTGACTTGATTGCCAATGCAGGACTGGCCTCTCAGGTCATACCTGTCTCACAGGTGAAAGGAATTGTTTTGCACTGTCTCTCAGCCTCCCCCTCCTGGGGGCAGCCTCCCCAGGGAGACACACCTGAGGGAACCCACACACACACACACACACACACACACTTTTTTAAGAGAGGACCTGGCCAGGTGGTAGGTACATGACTTGCTTTTATTGGGAGAGGATTCCTGCTACCTCACCCTTCCCTCAGGCTCCCTTCCCTCAGGAGTTCAGCTTTCCAATTGCGGGACCTCCAGGCCTCCCTCGACCTCAGGTTCTTTCCCTTTTTACCGTAGTTTATTGCCTGGCAGGTTGGGAGGGAAGGGAGGCGTCCAGCTCTGTAGATTATTTTTAAGACTAGTGTTCTAGGACTGCCCTAGAATGGCTTTCCATTCTGTCCCCTAGATATTCTTTCCTGTTGACCACGCCTGGTGTTGGTGGTGCCGTGTGGCAGACTGGCCACACGGGATTCCTGGCTGCCTGCTGGACTGTGGGCTCTGCCTTGTTTCTGTTTCTGTGTGGTGGTGTGACTTCAAGCCTTGGTGGTGTCCTCATGGATATCCTTGCTGAGACTGGGGACTTGGCCTCGGCTGGGCTTTTGGCCTTGCCTCCCACACAGCCTCATCCTCGGGCTTGTCAACCCTGACTGCGATTCAGGTACCTCAGCTTCCACCCACCGTACTCATACCCACTGTTCTCATTTTAGCTGACTGCCAGCATTTGGAGGCACCTGCATGCACTCCAGGTGTCGGAAGGGCTGGTCCTGTGGAGGCGGTGAGGGAGAATTTGCCCTGTGTGCCTATCCTGGCTCTGATGGTTTGCGGGCATTCTTTGATGTTCCTTGTCTCACCTATCCGTCACCCTGATCTCTGCCTTCATCTTCACGTGCCATAATCCTGTGAAAGAGTTGGCTGAGATTTGTTTGTGTGTGCACACAGTGCTGGGAATAGAACCCAGGGCTTTGCCAACACTGAGTTTGTGCTCTACCACTGAGTTCTTCTTCCTCCCTTCCCCAGCTCTACCCAAGTGAACGTTTACCAGGACCTTGCTTTCCCCCAAATAAGCATATCCCAAGAGTCACTGTATAGATTTAGATGTGTTCGGAATTATTTTCTATGGGCATGTTCTTTCTCGAATGCAAATGACTGGCAGGGAAAAATCAATAAGTTGTAAGGACTCTAGTGTGAACCAATATTTCAGATTTTCTTTCTTTTTTATTTTTTATTTTTTTTTAATTTGCTATGTAGGGCTGGGGCTGGGGCTCAGCGGTAGAGTGCTCATCTCCCATGTGTGAGGCCCTGGGTTCAATCCTCAGCACTACATAAATAAAATGAAGGTATTGTGTCTACCTACAACTAAAAAAATATTTTTAAATTTTTTTTTCAATGCAGGGGATTGAACCCACAGTGCTCTAACACCGAGTTACATCCCAGCCTTTAAAAAAAATTTTGAGACAGGATCTCACCAAGTTGCCCATGGTGGCCTTGAGCTTATGATCTTCCTGCCTCAGCCTCCTGCCTTAGCCTCCCCAGTAGCTGGGATTACTAGTGTGCATCACTATGCCTGGCTTCATGTTTTCAAGGTATCTTGAAAGAGGAAAGTAGTGTACATTGTACATGCTTCTGTAGGTACTGGAGAAAGGAGGTGTCTGGAAGCCAGGCCTGCTCTCCTCCTAGGGTTGCCAGGGTGCAGTCTGTTGGGAGGAGTTGATATCTGTTGACAGCCAGGCTCCCACACTGTCCCAGCTACCTTGACCTTCAGATCCTGGCTTCTATGTTGGCTTATGGCAACTTCAGTTTCTGGAGCAGATGGGCTCGTTCCCCAGGCCTTGGAAGAACAAAGCTGAGTTTTGTGTTGGATGGTGTATTAGGTTCCTATTACTGCACAAATTTAAGAAAAAAAAAAAAAAAACATCAATTTGTCTTACATTTCTAGAGGTCAGAAGTCACAGTTGACCTGTAGGATTCTATAGCCCTGCCTTTTCTAGCTTCCAGGAACCACCTGCATTCCTCAATCCAGGGCCCTTCGAAAATCTGCAGCACCTCAGCAGCAGATCTTATCTCTGGCTGCTGTTTCTTATCTCTGGCTGCTGTTTGGGTTGTTCTCTCTTGTCTCTCTCTGGCCTTTGTGCCCACTGTAAGGATCCTGAGCTTACAATGGCCCCACCCAGACAGCATAGGATAACATCCTGCCTCAAGGTCCTTCATCATTTCTGCACCGACCCTTTTGCTATATAAGGTAACAACATGTTCATTCACAGATTCTTGGGATTATGACAGGGACACCTTTAGAGACCATTACTTTACCAACCACAGACGAATAGAATCCAGAAACCGTGTCCTTACTTGAATAGAATCCAGAAACCTTCTTTTCCAGTACCTCCTCCCTTCCCCAGCTCTACTCAAGTGAACGTTTACCAGGACCTTGCTTTCCCCCAAATAAGCATATCCCAATTTGGCTAAAAACATCCTTTTTGGGATCGAGATGTGATTCTATAGTCTTTGTGGTCTTTGACTCATCTAGCACAAATAAAATTCATTTCCACTTTTTGAAATGACCCAAGAGGGAGAAATTGGCATCTTTGCTAAGCAGTAATTACAGAATTGCAAAACCCCAGCTCTTCACCTCGGAGGTGTTGGAAATGGACCAGCCCATCCATTTGCAGCCTGGCAGAATTCCCCACACTGCTTTGCAGGAAGGGCTTGCCCCCAGGCACAGCCCTCTGGGCAACAGCAAATGTGTGTGGCCCTCCGGGCTCCTGACCTGTGACCTGGCAGTCCAGCTGCTTCGTTCCTCTGTGGCAAGGCTGGATCAGGCCAGCCACACTGACACTGCTGCCCCAGGGAAGAGTCATTCATTGGGAGCATTCCCTGGGCTCCTGCTGACACCAGTTCTGATGATTCAGGCCCAAAGTGGGCTCTGGTCTGGCCTTCCATGTCCAACCCCACATCCTGAACACTTCTGCCCAGGATACAGCCAGGCCCCAGTCCACCCACCTCTACCTGTTGCTCAGTTGCTTAGGTATCCTGGGACCCTGGTCC